TTTTAGTGTTCAAGGTTTAGGGTGTTAGGGTTTAGGGTTGTTTTAGTGTTCACGGTTTAGGGTGTTAGGGTTTAGGGTTGTTTTAGTGTTTAAGGTTCAGGGTTTTAGGGTTTAGGGTTGTTTTAGTGTTTAAGGTTCAGGGTTTTAGGGGTTAGGGTTGTTTTAGTGTTTAAGGTTTAGGGTGTTAGGGTTTAGGGTTGTTTTAGTGTTTAAGGTTCAGGGTTTTAGGGGTTAGGGTTGTTTTAGTGTTTAAGGTTTAGGGTTTTAGGGTTTAGGGTTGTGGGTTTAGACTTAATAGAGTCTTTGAGGATTGGGTTTCGGGGTTGAGGGATTTCAGGGCTCACGAAACCTTCAAGTCTTGACCATCGCACGTCGGACCTCCAAAACGAATGGCCCTGGTCCGAACCACCAGCACCTAATCCTACCTATAGTCTCCATTGTAGTTCCTTTTTTGGGTTGATCAATTTTATGGTGAGGATCCCCTAATATATAAATTTGGTTAAACCAAAAAAAAACTACAATAGAGACTACAGGTAGACCCCAAACCCCTAAACCCCAAACCCGAAACCCAACTCTGGACAATGCCAGCGTCCTCTACCTTTGTGCCCAGGATCTCGTCCCGCACCCTCTGCCGGTATGTGTCGTCCTCATCGGAAGGAAGGAAAGTTCAGGTCGGCGAGTGCCCAAAAAACCCAAACCCGCACTGCCCAAAAACCCTAAAGCACTATAGAAACCTTAAAGCCCTAAAGCCACGCGCCGAACCACGAAGCCCGTAAGTGTAAAACCATAAGACTCATCATGAGGGTTCGACGCAAGCCCTTCAAGACAGGGCTTCCCCGCCAGCCCTCCCTGCCCCCCTGGACCTCTTCCAGGAGGTAGCGGAGCATAGACTGATAGCCCTTGGCCTAGGTTCTTGAAGGGTTTGAGGTTTAGGGTTTAGGGGTTCTGGTTTCGCATTCGGGGGTTAAGGTTTAGGGATTGCGATTTAGGGAATTTAGGGTTTAGGATTTTAGGGGTTTCAATTATTATGTTTCGGGTTAAAATAGGTTTACCAAACCAGGTTACTACAAGGGCTACGGTAAGGGTCCGCACTACATGCGGGGACGTCATAGTGATTCCCAATCCAGAACCCTCCACTTTCCAGTATCTGGGCAGTTCTCTAGATTAGGGTCCCCTTGTATAGGTCCGCAATATAGTACAGCACCCTTATGAAAAGGATCCTAAAATGGACCTTAATTTAGAGAACCACCCCACATATCCCCATAGGCCCCATAGTAGTTCCTTTTGGGGTTACCTTATAGGATTCTATATATGAACCCCAAAAGGAACTACTTTACGGCCTATGGGTCTACCAGTACTTCGGAGTCGCTAAGGAAGGAACTTCCCGGCTTGCAAGCGTGTTTGCTCATCTCAGTGGGCTATGGCTGCTGTTGATTTTAAAGGGTGTTGCACTTGGCTTCAGGGTTTAGGCTTTGAAGTCCGAGGAACAGATTATGGGTAGTTCTGTAAGTTAGGGTCCGTTTTGGCGTCCTTCTATTGTAAGAGTGCCGTACTATGTTGGGGGCCTAAAAAGGGACCGCACGTTAGAACTGTCCCTTCAGTATAGTCTTCACATCACCGGGCTGGGGGTTGGCTGAGTTCTGGGTGGATTTATTGAACCTAGGTTGCCGCAGTCATAAGGATATCGGATATAACATACAGTTGTGATGCATAAACGATCGACTAGGAATCATTATTAATCGTTTCGGTTATACTTATAAACACGATATGTTTGCCGATGTTGATGCTACTTGTCCCTGGGTTCCTCAACTTCCTGGGCCCTGCGGCATCCGGGAGCAGGTAGGCATCGATGTCTCCCATGCAGCCGATGATGGCCTCCAGGGTTACATAAGTTTCGGGGATTAGGATGCCACAAGGTTCCTAGAGAAGGCTCAAAGTCCCACAGGTGTCAGGGTTCTGGTTTAGGGTTTAGGGGATAATGTTTAGGGTTCTATAAGGGTTCTGTGGCACCGCTGTGGTCTCCGTGAGCTTCGTGACCTGTTCGATGAGCTTCTTGGTCTGCTCATCCTTCGCGGCGCCGCTCGGTGTGTGCGTTTTTTTTCCGAGCGTGCTCGTCTTTCTGGTCCACCCATTCGCCTTTCCAGCTGCTCCAAGTCCCTCCACCACTGCCCCAGCCGCCTCCGGTCTCCAACTGTGGAACATCTCGCGAATCGTACAGATCGATGCCGACGCCTCCAGGGGGGAGGTAGACAACCGAGTAATCCCAACCCTGAGCCCTAAACTCTATAAAACCTATAGAGATGTTATGAATCATCTTCGAGGCTGTGATGGCAAGCAGGGCACATGTGGCACCAACCTTCTCGGGCCGCGTGCACCGAACTTCGAGCAGAACAGGTTTAGGGTTTAGGGCTAAGACGTTCAGGATGCATGGCTTGGAGGAGACCCCCCCCCAAAAAAAGCCCTATAAATAGGCTTAGTGCGTCGGGCTTCGAGTCTCGGGCTTAGGGTCTTGGGATCCAGGATTCCAAAAATCTTGCTAGGATTCCACAGATCTTGCGGGGGCTGAAGAGATGAAACTGAAAATTTGAGCTTTAGGAAGCTTGAGCGAGTGTGGTTTTGTTTGGATCTGTGAGCAGCTGAACCCAGCTGGACCATAGAAATCCTAGACCCACACGCAACCCAACAAACTGCATCCTAAACCCTCATGTAGGGGCCTAGGGTTTTGGGGTATATACATTATACTCGACATATAACAAAGAATCCCCAAAATAGTATTGACAATTATTTTGTCCCTTTGTCCCCTAAACCCTACCCGGCGCGACTTCTGAGCGAAGCTGTTTGGACATCTTGGCCCCGGAGGAAAGCCCTGAAACCTGTGTCGCAGCTGACCCTAAACCCTAGACCCTAAACCCTAAAACCCTAAAAGGCGAAGCCCTAAACCCCAAACCCTGCCATGTCGGCGAACAAAACTCTGAGTAAAAAAGAGCAGGCGGCTGCTGCTGCATAAGTAGTCCTGTAGTACGTACCCTAAACTGCCACACCCTATACCTTTATGCGTTTAATATTTCAAATCCTTACGTGGAACGAAGAGGGAACCCTGCAGAAAATAGAGGTTTTGGTAGCGTAAGATCTTGCTATCGCAATGCGTACAAGCCCTCATACACCCCCGGGCCGAAAGTTTCGACACGCAGCTTACGTTGCCAATAACGTTAACATGTACCGCGGAGAAGCGGAGAGACCCAAGACCCGTTTTACGTGGCCGGCGTGGCGGAGTAATTACTTTCCGGGAATGAAAATATACTACTGTATAGTTTCCGGCGGAGAGCTGCGCGAGGTTGTGCTAGGAGTCTACGGGGGACAAGGGGCGGGCATGTGGTGTTCTGTCTTAAGTTTGTGATGTATGGCGAACTTTCGTCCTGCAGTAGTAGGAACCCCTAACCCTAAACCCCTAAACCCTAAACCCCATAACTCTCACAGGAACCCTCGCAAGCCTTGGTCAGCTCATCCTCGCCCAGATCCAGATCCTTCCTTTCGGGTCGGGATGATTTCGGACTCTGTGGCTGGGCTTAGTGGGCGTAGGGTTTAGGGGCTGAGGGGCTGAGGGGCTTAGGGGTTTCGGGGTTTATGGCCTAGGGTTCAGGGGCTTGGGGTGTAGGGCTTAGGGTTCAGGGATTTGGGGTTTATGGCTTGGGGTTCAGGGGTTTGGGGTTTATTATGGCTTAGGGTTCAGGGGTTTGGGGCCTAGACTTTAGGGTGTATGGCTTCGGTACCACAAAAATTGCCCCTAATCATCGCTCTTTAAGTCTATAAACCCATACAAACCCTGCAAGGCAAAACAGCATAACACGTCAAGCCCTCTCGAATCTATCATAACATAACATAACATAACACAACACAACATCATACACCAGAGCTAACATAACATGACTTAACATGACATGACATGACACAACACAGAGCATGGCACAACATAACAGCCACACTCTAGCATAATTCAAAGACAAAGGAATATGCGTATCTGAATTATGAACAATCCAACATGTACTTTGTACCTATCGTAACAAAAAATGAAGATATTTCCAAAATTATAATAACCAAAAACTGTTTCCAAGTGCCCCTAAGCCATGTCCACCAGCCAAGATGCAGGAAGGCCGGGGCACCGTCATAGGCCTCCAGCGTCTTGCCGAGGTTTGGATCCCGGTAAGACAGGTACCTGAGAGTCTCTTGAGGATCGCTTACAGCAGAAGCCAGAAAGTCCTTAAGGTAAAGTATAAGAGATGCTAGCACTAATCCTCCTAAACCGTCCCAAACATATGTTCCAACTTTCCGGGATTCGCTGCAGGGTTTAGGGGTTTGGGGTTTAGGGCCTCGGGATTCAGGGGGTTTGGGCTTTAGGGGGTTGGGGGTTTAGTGGATTGGGGGTGAAGGGTGGTTTGGGGCTTGGGGGTTCAGGATTTCGGATTCCGGGTTTGGGGTTTCGGGTTCCGGGTTTCCCTAATCTCTAAACCCCAAACCCTGAACCCCTAAAGCCCTAAACCCAAAACTGCAGGGCTTTTCGGGCTTAGGGTTAGCATCTTTGGGTTTCTCGAGGACCTCTTGAATCGTAAAAAGCTGTATCATACCCGAAGGGCTCCAACGGACCCAAGAATTACATACTTAGGTTTCGGATAGTGATTCTGGGTTCAGGGTTTAGGGTTTAGGGTTTATGTAGGTTACTACTACTACTACTACTACTACTACTACTACTACTACTACTACGGAGAGTATATGATTATTAGGTACTTGGACCCTTAGGGATACAACTTACACATAAGGGAAGAAACAACACACGGAGCTAGGTAGGTTCTACAAGCTCCAGCCGCGGCCAGCTCCAGTTCTTGGATGTTTCGGTTGCGGCTTGGGGTGCAGACTGCATGGGGTTTGGATATGGGATGTATGGGATGGGATTTGGGAAGCCCATCTGCTGGTTTTACACCTTAAGCCCTAAACCCCAAAACCCGAAACCCTAAGCCCCTACACCGCCAAATCCCTAGACCCTCAACCCAAACCCCAAACCCCCAAAATCCCTAATTCCTTAAACCCACCAAAAAACAATATACCCCAAAACCCTCTTCTACTTCTGAAGAGGGTTTAGTGTTTAGGGTTAGAGGCCCTATAGTTAAAACCGTTAGGCTTCTAACAGAGTAGCTTGGGAATCCCTTAATACATTTATAGCAGAATATACCCCAAAACCCTATTCTAATTATTAAGAGGGTTTAGGGTTTAGG